TGTGGCTGTTTTGTGTCTCTTTGTGGCTGTTTTGTGTCTCTTTGTGGTGGTTTTGTGTCTCTTTGTGGTCTTTCGTGTCTTTGTGTTGATTCACAAACTTAATATTTGCTGTTTTTTTTCCATCTTAATAAAAATGTGTTTAAAAGTCTTGAACGATGAAACAACACACCTTTGCAGAAACACAGAACTCTCTGTGTTGGTTCAGCAGTTCTTGCGTCTCAGCGACTGTTGCCCCCGGCGACGTGTGTGTTGCTAGGTAGTGGTCACCTGACTGCTGCAGCCAATCCAGAGCCTGCAATGAACAGACAGGTTAGACTCAAGAATGGTGCAAGTCTTTATCCATAAACCATAAACCATGAAAACTGTCCTTATTATGATTGTAAAGGTCGAGTCTCTGAGCAACAGTTTAAATCCCCAAAATCTCATTTAACATCAGAGGAGATCAAAAAAGCAGCAACTTGTCACATCTGAGAAACAAGAACCATCAGATATTTGACACTTTTGCTGAAATAACTCATTTAATTATTTTTCTTCTCGTCAGTTTTCCGTCAGCGTGATGAGTGGAACCTTGAAGATTAGAGGTTCTAAGTGGTTCTAAGTGGACCTGTACCTGCTGGGCGTGGCTCTGGAACATCAAGTACTGCTGACACTGGTCCAGTCGACGTTTCTTAAGCGTCCAGAAATGCAGGACTCTGTTTTCCCGCTGCAGCAGCTCGCTGAGGATTCCTGAAGAAATGAACAAATGGATGAATTACATGTGGCGTTCCTCAGGGCTCCGTCCTGGTTCCTCGGTTCTTCTGTTCTCACCTTTGACCTGCTGCTCTGGAACCCTGGAGTGGCCGGTCACCTCCGTTACCCCGGAGACAGTGACGCTGTGGCCGGAGATGTTCGCCATGGTAACGCTGTTGCGGTGGATGTACTTGAGGAAAACTTCGGCGTTGCGTCTGGCCAGAGTGCAGGCCTGTTGCCACGGAAACAAGAGTGTTGTCATGATACATTTGCAGCACATGTGATTTAGAAAACAAGTCAAGTTACAAGATTTGTAGCATTTAAATCAGTGCCAAGTCCTGATTGGACAGGGAGTTAGCTTAGCTTAGCTTAGCGAATGAACCTCTGTAAGTCCAGAGGTGTTTTCGCCTCCTCACCTTCAGGAAAGCCTCCTTCTGCTCCATGTGTTTGTTGATGAGCGGCAGCAGCTGCTCCGGCTGCCGGTCGCCTCCTCCACACCAGTCCTCCTCCCGCCGGTACTCCTGCTCCAGACTCTCCAGGACACCGCACACCTGGACGCACCGGCAGGTAATTAAACAAACGCACAGAAGCAGCTCTGACCTGACAGAAGCATCGTAACATCACGCTCTGTTTTTCTGGTCAACACTTAAAGCTGCAGTGTGCAGTGACCCCTAGTGGTCACGGTGTAGACTGCAGCCAGCTGAACAGCCCTTTCTACATTCTCACTGGAGCCTGTATTTTATTTGTCCATTCTAGGCTGCTGTAGGAAGATGACCAGACAACATGGCGCCCTCTGGTGACCAAGTAAAGGTACAGTCAGATTTATTATATTTGCTGATTTAAACGCTTTGTCTAGCGCCCCCTTTTGACCAAGTATGGTCAGATTTATTGAGTCTGGCGCCCCCTGTTGATCAGGTACGGTGTTACCTGCTGCGATGTCCTGTAGAAGGCGGCGGATGCATTGACCAGTTTGAGCCTGTCTTCAATCCTCAGCATCAGCGTCTGCCAGTGCAGCGCCACCGTCTGGGCACAAGACCTCACTGCATCTGGATCGTAGTGTCCTGACCTGAGAGGAGGTTGGAGGCACTCGGTTAGGACTTTATCAAATGGTCAGTGGTTAACGGTCAGATGTATTGATCAGGTGGAACTCACCGGACTAGCAGCTCGGCTCTCTGCTGCAGAGCCAGCGCCACCTGGTGGGTCCTCTGCAACGAGTCAGCATGAAGAAGAGCCTGCAGGACATTCAAACATTTTAATTTAATTTACATGTTTACTGTCCACATCCAAAATTAATATATATATATTTTTAGAAATATTAATTTGTTCTTTACAATGTTTGATGACAAAGTTATATTTTCTTGTCAAATTTAATTAGCAAAAAAACGTTCTTTCGCTGTGACAAATTTTCCCAGTTGTGTTAATTTACAGAAAATAATTAGTAAAAAATGTGTAAACCTGAAAAAAATTACATAAAAAATCAGAATGTTTGCAAATATTACTTTGCCGTTTACAGGGTGTGATCATAAAATTACAGTTTTACTGTATTTATATCAGCTAAAATATTATTTTGAGGATATTTGCTATTTTTAAACCTTATCTTTAACAAGTTTCTAAACTCTTTTTTTTTTTTTTACAGTATCTAGATGGAGCGTGTTTATATTTTTGGTGAATTTTGAAATAACACACCTGGATTTTGATGATGTATGAAAACTTTAGGTTTAGATTTGGATAATTTTCCAGATGTGAGTCATGAATGTTAGTTGTTGTGTTAAATGGTGTCGTTCCTCTTTCACAAAATACCGAAATCAGTTTCATTTACATTTACTGTACGTCTGCTCTTTTGCCCTACAAAGTGTTTATTAATTCATCTTTTCTGCTACAAAACGGTGTGTACAACATGTTTTCGTCTCTATAAATCGCCGCGGTGCACCAGTCATCACTGGTGTTCTGTGTGCTGCTGCAGTAACCTCGATGGCCTGCTGGAGGCGCTCGTGTTCCCGCTGCAGCTGCTCGGCTTCGGACAGGCAGCTGGAGTTCAACATGCAGGACGACAGCATCACCTCTCCCTCGGAGATCCAGCCCAGCACCTGCGGCGGACACAGCAGACAGACGTCACCTCCTGGACTCCACCTGGCGACAGGTGTGGGTGGGCGGGGCTTACCTGTTTGACCTGGCTCTGCAGGTGTCTCAGCTGCAGGTTCTGCTCCAGGTGTGTGTGCGTGTGGTCGGCGATCTGCTGCAGCTCCTTCTGCTTGTCCTGCAGGAGGCGCTGCAGCTCGTCCACCTGAGCGGAGATTCCTCCCTCGGCCTCCGACAGCTCGATACCTGCCGACACATTCAGACGCTTTGGCTGCTCGGGTCCTCACAAGTGTGTCTCTATTCATGCCTGAGTGTGTCTCCATGGCAAATTCAATACGCTGGTTTCCATGGGGACCAGCTGTGTGCTTCAGAGAGCAGTTTCCATAGCAACCCCATCCCCCCTTTTCCCCCCATTATCCTCTGCACCCCCCTTTTCCCTCCACATCATCAGTGTGGCGCTGAACTGGTCAGACGGAGGCGACTCTGTAGCATCGACTCATTCTCGTCTGGTTCCACCATTAAAATATAATCAACGAGGAAAATGTACCGCAGCCAGTTGGTGGGTGTTTGACGCCATCATGAGCCTCCTCAAGCACCGACATGACATTTAAACAGAACCTCCACCTCCTCATTCATCTCTACAAACCATCCAGTGGAGCAGAAACCTTTCAAGGACCGGCAGAACCCCATTTGGTTCTGGAGCTCCCTAAAGAACGATTAAAAAAACTAACTGGAATCTATGGAACCCACTGAAAAACCTTTAAACGAAGAACTGGCAACCACGCATTGACCTCTGGAACCCATCAAACTACTCAAAACCTTAAGGAACACGTCTAGAGCCCCTTTAGGAACCAGACAATCTCTCGAGCATCCTGAAGTATCAACAGAACCGCCTTTAACTGCCACTTGAATCCCTTATGGAGCCCCAAAACCAACCAAAGTCTGCTGAAATCTGCGAAAATGGCCCTTCCTTTTAAGGCTACAATTCAAACACCACTGGAGCACCTCAGGAAACCTTACAAAGCCTTTCTAGACCTCGAAACTCCTCTAAAATCCTTGGAACACCTTAAGGAGCATCACTGCAGCTTCATAGGAAGCACTAAAAACCCTCAGTGGGAAGCCTTGGCCCCTGGAAGCTACAAAAAGGCTCATTGAAACCTTTCAAGGTGGAATCTCCTCAAGAAATCATTGAGGCACTACCAATATTGGTAAGAACCTGCTGAAAGAACAAAGAAACCCCCTTACAGGATTTCTAGAATCCCCTCAGTAACCTCTCAACACTCATCAAGAAGCAGCCTCAACCACTTAAGGAGTCCTGGAATCTCCTCAAGTACCACTGAAACCACTTAAGGGACCTTTAGAAGCTCCTCAAAGTGGCACTCAAATCCATTCATGAATCCACAGACCTTTAAACCACTCAAGAACAACTGTAACCCAAAAAAAGACTCCTGGAGTATGACCCCCAAGGTCCGTCTTTTTACTTCATCCCTTCTGCATCTCTGGGCGGCTGTGGCTCAGGTGGTAGAGCGGTTGTCCTCTGACCGTAAGGTTGGTGGTTCGATCCCCGCCCCTCCACAGTCGAAGTGTCCTTGGGCAAGACACTGAACCTGAAGTTGCTCCCGATGGCAGGCGAGCGCCTTGCATGGCAGCTCTGTCGCCATTGGTGTGAATGAATGTGTGTGAATGGGTGAATGAGAAACATTGTAAAGCGATTTGAGTGCCGCAAAGGCAGAAAAACGCTCTAAAAGTGCAGTCCATTTACCATTTACCATTCTACGACCACTGGAGCTCTAACATGCATCCCTGGAACCAACTAAGTGGTCTCCGTAACCAGTCTAAAACCAGTGACCCAGTGAAACTCAATAACCTGTGAAGCACTGTGAAGCAGATTAACATAGCTCCTTTCCTGTGGTGAACCCCAAGGTCCAGTCCTAGGTTCTGTTATTTTTTCCAACTGGGTTCTGTCATTTGAAAACATGATATGTGTTTCTATGCAGATGACGCTCTGCTTTATGTCGCCAACCGTCTGATGACCTCAGCCCTGATGTCAGCCTTGTTAGATCAGTAAGTAGAAAGCACCTTATTAGCACCGACTCTTACCTGACGCCTGGACCTCGGTGATGTACTGCTGGAGGTCGTGACCCTGCTGGATGACCTCATAAATCATGTTGTTCATAGCCAGCCTCCGCTCCATGTGCCTGCAGGTCAATCAGCCCATCAGTCAAAGTGTTGTTTTTGTGCTGAGTCTTTAAGATGTCGTCACGTCGGCCTCTTTACCTGTGAATACGCTGCTGTGCTAGCGTTAGCGCCTCGGGGCTAGCCTCCACTAGCCGTGACTGGCTCAGTGCTAGCTTGTCCTGGGCCATCTTGTCCTGGTTGGTGTCAGCGAGCCGTGGCGATGCTAGCTTCTCGGTGGAAAAGTCCTGGGACTGTTTCTGGAGGTCTTGTTTCCAGGCGTCTATTTCCCCGGTTACCTGGGAAACACAGACAGAGTCAAATTTTGGTCCAACCTTGTGGACGCTGGAATAATGCAGAAGCATGACGTGTAAGCTAACCTCCAGCGTGCACTGCTGCAGGATGCGGAGCTGCAAGTAGACGTCCAGGCGGATCTTCCTCTGGTGGAAAAGCTCCTCCAGCTGAACGTGGGACTCCTCCAGCTGCTGCAGCACTGACTCCACGTGGGCCACCGAGCTGCCCTGGGGCCTGAAACAAACGCACCCACACATTATAGCAACCTGAGGGCAAACAGGCAGTCGGCTAGAACTACAAATAAAACAGAAAACAAACGCACCCAGAAGCTGTGAACATGCTTCGGTGTGGTCCACTCTGAGAACTCTGCCGATATCTACGTGCTCAGTAGCACAGCCCATGTAGTGTAACGGCATGTAAACAATTTAAACTACTCTGGCTTACAGTATGTAAACAAAATGTATACTTTCAACTTGTAAAAGTACAAACTACTAAGAGGTTGTAAACAATGTAAATAAAACTTTTTACAGTGCATAAATGATGTAAGAAGTAGGACTTACAGCCTGTAAACAATGTCAACATCTCTGGCTTTCTACGTCTCAAACTGGTAAACAATGTAAACAAACCTACTTACAGCCCGTAAACAACAAAAACAAGATGTACACTTTCAGCTTGTAAACAACATAAAAAATACCTACTTACTGCATGTGAACAATATAAACAACACTTTTTGCAGTGCGTAAACAATGTCAACAAGTATGGCTTACTGCAGGTAAACAATGTCAACAACGCTGGGTTTCTACGTGTAAACGATGTAAACAACACCCTCTACTACTCACAAATGCAGAAGGTATGACTCCGACCTTAGAGATGATAGAAATCATAAAACAAACGCACCCTCAAACACTCCACACAGCCTCTCAGCTGCCACGAACAGCGAAACAAATGCGCCTACGTAGGATATAAAAAAGCTTAAAACACACTTGCCCACAGTGGTTACAACTATCTGCACCACACAGGCGTCCGAGCTGCCCCGTGTAGTGAAACAAACACCCACGCTGCAAACAGAAAGCAAACGCGCCCACACAGGCTTGGTGAACCCGGTGCTGCGGCCCAAATCAAACGCACCCTCCCTGAGTGTACCTGAGCTGGAGGATGAGGTCTTCTCCCTCCCGGATGACGCTCATCGCAGCTTCCTGTGGGTCAGCGTTAGAGGTTAGTGCGAGTTAGAGGGGGCGGGTCGGGAGTGTTAGGTTGTTATGACGGGGTCAGACTGCGGGTCGGAGGCGGGCGGGTACCTGAGTGTTTGCCTGCTGCTGCTGCTGCTGGCTGATCAGAGCCTGCAGCGCCTCCACGGTGTCCGGGCAGACGAGGAGGTCCGAGGAGAGCTGCTTCTGGAGGCCCTCCATCCACACGGAGAGCTGGAGGAGACAGCACCGGGTCAGAGTACTGCAGTATCAGAGGGAAGGTACTGCAGTAGGGGTCAGAGTACTGTAGTAACAGAGTCAAAGTACTGTAGTAGGGGTCAGAGTATTGCAGTATCAGAGAGAAAGTACTGTAGTATCATAGTGAGAGTACTACAGTTTCAGGGTCCCAGTACTGCAGTATCCTACAGTACGTGTGTGTTTTTACCTCCTTTGTGTGTGTGTAGAAGGACACAGCGAGATCTAACAGCAGCTTCCTCTGTTCAACCCGCTGGATGAAGGCCTGTAAATATGTAAACGACACATGTAAACAACCTAAACAACGCATGTAAACAACCTAAACAACACATGTAAACAACCTAAACAACGCATGTAAACAACCTAAACAACGCATGTAAACAACCTAAACAACACATGTAAACAGTGTAAACAACGTTAACTTGCATTATTTAAAGAACTCTTACCTAAAGCGTGTAAATGTTGTAAACAACACCTACGTACTGCAGGTAAACAATGTAAACAACATACACTGTTTACGTATGCCAAGAACATAATGTAAACAAAAGCCTTTCAGGCCCTACTATCAGCTTGTAAACAACATAAACGACAGCTCCTTACACCACACAAACCATGTAAACAACAACAACACATCCTTTAAGCGTGTAAACAATGTAAACAATGTCTACATACTAGGTGTAAACAATGTAAACAACACCTACTCAAACATGTCAACAACATCAACAACAACTACTTACATCATGTAAACAACAAACATCTAACATCATGTAAGCAATGTTAACAACAACTCCTTATGTGAAGTAAACAATGTAAACAACACCTACTCAAAGAATGCAAACATCAACAACTACTTACATAATGTAAACGACATCAACAAGACCTACTCACATCACATAAATAACAAACAACTCTTTACGCGAAGTAAACAATGTAAACAGCATCTACTTTGTGCATATAAACAATGTAAACAACACCTACGTACTGCGTGTAAAGAATGCAAACAACAGCTACTCAAAGCATGTAAACATCAACAACTATTTACATCGTGTAAACAACAACTAATTACGCAACGTAAACAATGTAAACAACACCTACTTACATAAACGATGTAAACGACTCCAACTTTAAGCTCTTTGACGATGTAAACATCTGCTTACATCATGTTAACAGCAAACAACTGCTAACGTCACGTAAACAGTGTAAACAACGACTACCTACTGCATGTAAACAACATATACTTACATCCAGTAAACAATGTAAACAACACTGACTTATGACAACAACACATGTAAACAGTAAACAGACCTGCATGCGGAGCTCCAGGTCTCGGGCCGCCTGGTAGATCTCCTCCTCTTCACACTCTCCGGACTGAGCCAGCTGGTCGGCCGCCTCCAGCAGCTTCTCTGCGTTCGTGTACGTGTTCTGCCACAGAAACACACCGACAGGTTACATGTGCAGTAGGGGCGAGTCCTGGTTCTGGTTCTGGTTCTGAACCCTCGAACAGACTCCGCATGATTTCAATCAGTTTGGCGACTTCGGCGTGTTACCTGCGCCACCTGCTGGAAGTCGTCGTGACGTTTCTGCAGCGCTCGCGCTCGGTGCAGCGACTTCCCGACGCCGCTGTGTTTGTTCAGGAAGACCTCGCCGTGCTGCTCCACCCAGTCCAACACCTGAGACAGAAACTGAGTCTGAACACCTGGACCTGAATCTGGCATTGAGTCCATCTCTCTATTTATATGTGAATCTAAACCTGAATGTGAATTGAGAATGGAAAGTCACTCTGGATCTGGATCTGAATTTAAATCCCATCCTGAATCTGAATATGTAAATCCAAATTAAAAATCTGGATCTGAATGTAAAACTAGATCTGGATCGAGAATTTTGATCTGTATCTGAATCTAAATATGAACGTGAGTTTAAGTCTGAGTCTGGACCATCTAAACCTGGACTTTAAGGTAAAACCGAGGTCTGAATGTCAATTTGGATCTGAGTTTGAATACAAATCTGAATGAGAACATGATTTGGAAACTGGATCTAAATCCGGACCTGAATCTGGATCAGGATCGTCGTACCTGTCTGACGTCTTGTTGAAACACGCACAGCTGCAGGCGCTGGTGGAGGCGGAGCTTACGGTGCTGCCACGCCCCCTCCACCTCGTGATGACCCTGCAGAAAAGACGAAAGTCCACATCAGTCCACCTGTCTGTCCACTTATGACACAGGCTGCTACAAAGAAAGGTGTGAAACAGGTAACGTGGCGCCGCACCTGCAACACCTGGTGTAGCACTCCCATGATGCCGTGCGTGGCGGCGGTGAAGTCTGGTTTGGCGGCCGAGTCGTCAGACTCAGTCGCCGGGCAACGCTGGAGGACGTCCAATAAGGCTTTACCGCTCTCACTGACCTGCAGACAGACATGTAGGAAGTCAGACAGGTGTTCAGACAGACAGGTGTTCAGACAGACAGACTGGTAGGAAGTCAGACAGGTGTTCAGACAGACAGACTGGTAGGAAGTCAGACAGGTGTTCAGACAGACAGGTACCTGTGTGTAGTTGGCAGAGATCTCCTCGTTGAGCTCCTGGTGTTTTTTAACTGCAGCTTCCAGCTCTGCTGTCGCCGACGGCAACGACCCTTCGGAGCACACCTGGACCCAGCCCTCGACCCGGAGCAGGAACTGGACAGACAGGTAGACAGTGTCAACATCACCTGACCGATAATCGAAAGGGATGCAGGTGTTTTTCTGGGCACTGGAACAGAACGGTGTGCTGATCACCTGTTCTGCCCCCTGGTGGAAACCAGTTGCCATGGCGAGAGTGTTGCTGCGCTCCTCCAGCGCTGTCGTCAGGGACTTCCAGTCTTCCTGTAACCGCGACGACACCATGGCGATCCTCTCCGCACCATAGTGACCAGCCTCTGCGAGCCTCGCTGCCACGGTAACCACGCTGTCCACGTTCACGCTGCCGTTCTGCGAACAGAAACACTGTTTACGTCATAAGGTGTCTGGAGATCACCTCCATCAACATCCTGGGTCACGTCAAGGAATACAGACCCTAGAAGAAGTTCTACTGGACGGTTTTTTCTGTTGGAACCGGCCCAAAGGTTTGGGCTCATTGATGACTCAGTATAGAATAAAACAGAATAGTTCTTTATTGTCACGGTGGAAGCAGGTTTAACAAGACAGTGTTTCAGCAGTGAAATTTTGCTGCAGCATCCTCTGTGGCAGCAATACACAAGTAAAAAGAAATAATATAAAAATAAATTATTAAAGCGAAGACTATGAAGAACAGGAGATGTTTACAGCATTACCAGCAGACAGTATTAACAATAAGACCATGGATGAACTCACCATGCAGTTGGCGGTGAAGTGCTGGTGTTGTGTCTGGAGGTCGACGGCATGCTGGTGGTTCTGACCAACCTCCGCCAGACTCTGCATGAACAGTTCCTTACTGTGAGCGATCCATTCGGACATCTGAGACAGAGAGAGACGGATCAGACAACGAATATGTCCCGGAGACAGGTGAACCTGGAGCTGCGAGCCTCACCTTGGTGGCGTCCTGCTCAAACAGGTGCAGCTGCAGCGCCTGGTCCAGGTGCAGCTTCCTGTCGCTCCAGCTCTGCAGCAGGTGGCTGCGAGCCGCCTGCAGCCGGTCCAGCAGAGACGAAACCTTGGGCGCCACGCTCTGGAAGTCCGCCCCGCCCGACAGCCAGCTGCCATGGCTGCCGCCACCACCGCCGCCTTCGTTGGAGGCGTCGCCGTGTGAGGGGCCGAGGCGCATGCGCTGGAGTAAGCTCCGCCCCTCTCGGTCGAGAGCGTCGACTGGTGCGGTGGCGATGGTGTTACGGAGGCGACCGTGTTCCTCGAGCAGTCTGCACAGAAAATATGTTGATTAGAACATTTCCTGCATGACACCGAGGTGCAAACGTCAAATAGTTTATTTAATCAGTAGTCAGCAACTTTATCTTGTCTCAAATATTTAAGCTACGGCCGGAAAACCTTTAATCTCCTCAGAGTCTCTGTCATGGTCCCGTTGCTAGCTAAACTCCCACAATGCTCTCTGCTGCCACCATGGTCTCTACAGCATTAAACATGAGCGGCACCATCTGGTGGAACAACCAGATACTACAGCTGGTCTATGAATCCTTTTCTGACGTGAACATCCTTCATCTGCTGCATAACTGGTTCATAAATTTGTTAATCAAAACATTACAACCAATTAATCAATTAATTGAACACTCACTTGCGGGCCTCGTCGACGTCCTGTGGTTCTGGTATGCGGTTCAGCCCAGCCTCCAGCTGCTCCAGCTGGGCCAGCAGCTGCGTGGCGGCGCCTGAGAATTCCTCCAGGCCCAGACGCAGCTCGGTCCACTCCACATGGTCATACTCCAGCGAGCCGCCGAGGTCGGAGGTCAGCTGTGAGGGGTCGACGAGCCGGGACAGACCCTCCACCGACACCAGGCTGGTCTGCAGACAGAGACAGTTCACTGACCGGCTGCAGGGTAAAGAGCGGCGCTCGGCCAGCAGTTAGTGGTGGCGGCAGTGGTTCGTACCTCGAAGCTGAGCTTGGCGCTGCCCAGGTTGGTCTTATGTTTCTGCCAGAAGGTGTCGGGTTTGATGAGCAGCGCTGTGTGGATGTTGGAGGAAAATGACTCCTGCAGCGTTCGCAGCACCGGCTTCACGCTGTCCCACTTACTGCCGCGCATGTCCACCACCACGGTGAAGCCACGAGCACGCACGTCCTCGCTGTGGACGGACAAGTTTGTTTAGTAAACTCAAAACGCATCAAGTCATCCGACTGTTGCAAAGTGCAGATTTAGAGGTGACTCAATATAAATGGGCTGCATAACTTGTTTTTACATAGAGATTAGTTTAGTAAACTTAAACTCTGACTGCTCATGCCAAGCACTTTCTGGGCGACTCATTTTAACCCACTGTGTGCTCATTGTAACTCTCTGTCAGCTAATTTTTTGTCACTGTGGACCCACTTCCTCTTACCATTGGCTCATTTTTCCTGTCCTGACTATGGGCCCTTTTCCCCACTATGGGCTCATTTTTCCTGACTGTGGGCCTTAACATTAAGGAGAAATGAGCCCACAGAGAGGAAAAATGTGACAGGAGCAAAGAAATGCGCACAAAATGCTTCAAGTCCGGAGTGCTTTTTAAGCAGAAATGCAATGTATTTGCTGGTTTCAAACAGAAAATGAAATCTGGGGGTGCCACCTTGACTTTTTGTTTACAGGAAAATTAATTGAAAACACATTTGACAAACATAGCTGCTGCAGCATCCTTCCAGGTTTTATTCTTTATGCAGAAACTCCGCCGAGGTCTCGCTGGTCCTACCTGGGTATGGTCGACAGGTAAGTGACCAGTCGGCTGAGGTCCTCCTGTTTTATTCGATCGTGATTGGTCCTGGCAGGGAAGGTCAGGATTGGTCCGCCTCGTTTGTCCCGTCCGCCTGGAACACACTTGGAACTGTTAACTGGGCCACGCCGGGAACAAACTGGACTCAAACCAGCCATCGTGTGTTCTACTTACCCGACACAAAGGCCACTTTCTCTCTGAGCACCGTCAGAACATCGACCGCCCGGACACACTCGGCTTTGCCACAACCTGAAACACAGACGGAGGAGATCTTTAGCTGCAGACTGGAGTCTGGACTTGAGGTGGAACAAACATTTCTAGGAACTGCCCCAAATCGACCCACAACAACAACAGCAACAACGAACAGTAGTTAGGGGATGAACGTCCAGTTCTATGTCAGAGATAGAGCTGTGGAGGTTTGTAGCGTTAGACTGAATGGTGACGTTCATGTCATGGATGCCACTGACCAAGGACAACCAGTTAGCATCGAGACCAACGCAGTAGTTCTTCAGGGTCGCTCAGAATTATCCACACTGGAGTAAATGGTGGTGAAACTGCCTGGGGATGGGTCAGGACTGCATTGTACGTGCTTACCTAATAGGTACTTATCAAAGAGTTCCGAGATCCTCTCCAGGCGGTTTAAGAACATTAAGGAACAGACTAGAGCCAGAAAAAGTTTTTTCCTGAATGCATTGAAGAGATTTTCAGCTGTCAGACATATGCACTGGATTGATTTGAATAACTTTATTGTTGTGGAAGTTTTACTTTTGTAGTAAAATGGTGTTGGATTGGGACTCGGTATCAGAATCAGAGAGGTGGGAAAAGCAGTCAGAAACTCAACACTGATGAGTCGTTTCAGCTCGAGACCCAGAATGAGCCAATCAGGCTTCAGAGAGACAAGCTGACGGATATTTCAATTGGAAACCGACTCAGGGAGTGTCTGTTCTCGCGTTAGAATCAGGAGGTGGTTTGGAGGCCAGTGAATGCATGACGTCAACGAGGGTCCCCACAAAAATAGAAGCAGAATAAAGCGTGTGCTGCAGACAGGCCTCCCGTGTGCGCCGGATGATCCTGCACAGCGGGAGGAAGCTAATCCAGCGCACACACTAACCGGGCATTAAGCATCTCACATTAGCAGCTCGACAAGCGGCGACAATCCTCAGAGAGAAAACCTAAAAACAGGCACAAGAAGTGAAACCGGAACAGCCTCCTCACGGCGTCGCTTCCTCCGACCTGACCGATCCGCCTCGACAAAGTCCAGGCCGGCAGCTCCGACCCAGACACATTACCAGGAGACTCTTCCAGCTGTGTCACTGAAATAACGAATCTAACCGCCAGACAGCAGAAACGACGGACTAATAGCTCGGTTGTGTTCGATTATTTGAGCAATCAAGGGTCAAAACCCCCAAAATTTTCAGTTTATTATCACGAGGCGATGAAAAGCCGTCACCAGTAAATATTTGGGCGTTCTTGATTAGACCAGTTCTCACTTTAGAACTGCTAATCGTCTCAGAAAAAAATCATCAGCAGGCGTTTAGTTAACGGATTACTGGATTACCAGCTGTTGGTTCAACAGAACCAGCAGCGTGGACGCGTCAGCTTTGGGAAGCTGCGACGTTTTCAGGATCTGACAGGTTCCAGTGGGGTTTGAACCTTTAGGGGGTTTGAACCACTTCGTAGAGTCTCTCAGGGATCAAAGTGTACCTACAAAAGACCGACGTGTGGGGCAAACATCATGTTTCTTTCTTGTCAATGTCTTTGCCAGGCCATCTTCTCTCTAACATCGTCATCAACAACCAAGTTCAACCAGTCAGCATCGAGAACTGCAACGGAGGTCTTGGGGGTCGCTCAGACGATCCGACCTTGGAGGTGAGGCTGCCTGGAGAGGGGTCATCACCAGGACCTCATCAGTAGGTAGGTATACTCAGTCCCCAGGCACTTCCTGAACTTAGAATATGAGGTACTTATGATTGATGACATAAAGTACTGAAATACAATATATCGTATCAAGGTCTGTTGTCCACAAGAGTCTGTCTCCTTCACAGTAAAAGTTTGTCAGCTCCTTCACAGTAAAAGTTTGTCGACTCCTTCACAGTAAAAGCACTCCAGCTCCTTCACACTAAATGTCTGTCAGCTCCATCACAGTAAAAGCACACCAGCTCTTTCACAGTAAAAGCACACCAGCTCCTACACAGTAAAAGCCCACCAGTTCTTTCACAGTACAAGTCTACCAGCTCCTTCACAGTAAAAGCACACCAGCTCCTTCACAGTAAAAGCACACCGGCTCCTTCACAGTAAAAGTCTGTCAGCTCCTTCACAGTAAAAGCACTCCAGCTCCTTCACAGTAAAAGTCTGTCAGCTCCGTCAAAGTAAAAGCACAACAGCTCTTTCACAGTAAAAGCACACCAGCTCCTACACAGTAAAAGCCCACCAGTTCTTTCACAGTAAAAGTCTGTCAGCTCCTACACAGTAAAAGCACTCCAGCTTCTTCACAGTAAAAGTCTGTCAGCTCCTTCACAGTAAAAGCGCTGCAGGTTATTCTGGTTAAATTGTGCGTAAACTCAGATGTTATCGAGAACATTCAGGCTGTAACGATGTAAACTGACTGATTAAACGTAACGAGCGCCTGAGTTACTGTAAAAGAGAGGAATTAAACCAGGAACCATCTTTAATGTGGATCATCGTCAGTCGGAGCTCGATGCTAATCTGGCGGATCAGATTAGCGCGTCGTATTAATTTACCAGAGCTTTTGTTTGGGTTGGCTCTCTCATTAATCCTGAATATTTTATTGGGTTTTTAGATCTTCAGATCAGAAGAAAGTGTCTCGGTTATTCGTTATTTCATGTTTAAACTCTGCACGTCTGTCATTTTCATCTGGTGGATGTTTTTGCCGCCGTCAGCAGAACGTCTGTCCGGCTGTCGGGTCGGATGCTCGTAAAGTCTCTGTTGGGTTCCCAGCGTTTTGGACGTCGCAGCACATTTAGTTGGAACCACATGTGATGTCATTTAACTTGGTTAAGTTTGGGCAAAACAATGACCTGGATCGGTTCTGGTGAAGATCTAAACACAGCCGTAGAACCACTGGTTGTTCTCACATCCAACTGGTCATCGTTTCTAGTTTTCTGTTCTTCCAGTCGCTGTCAGCTGCTTTCAGTCACAGTTTCATACAGTTTTCGGAGCACATTGCTGATTATAAACCAACCAGCACTCAGAGAACCAGTGAGTTCTGATCAGTGATGAGTTACTGAAGTCATTTCAACCAGCTTCAAGGTGGATGGTTATAGTTATATAATCATTTGTCCACTTTTTATTCACTAAATCGATCAGTTATGAATAAAATCAAAGTCAAATATTCATAATATTTGACTTTTTGCTGTCGTCAGCTGTTGTTTCAGTGATTTTATGACTTTTTTGTGCTGTTTACTTTTTTAAAAAAGTCATTTTCGGTTGTTGTTTTCTGTCCTCTCCTGTTGTTCTGGTGTTTGCTCTTACTTCCTCTTCAGCCGCTGATCCTGTCGTCTCCAGATCTCAGCCCATCTTCTGGCTTTTCCTCCACTGTTTCCTGTTTCTGTCTCTTCCCATCGTTCTGCTGTTTTCTGTCACTGTTTCGCCTCCAGTTGCTGTTTGTCGTCGTTTTCTGTTTTCGTTGTGTTTTTGTGTCACTGACAGACCAGCCACGGCTCTCATGTCGGTACCGTTTGGGCCCAGATGTTCTCCTCTCTTTCATTTCTCTGTGTTTTCAGACGCTTTCTGCTCCAAAGCCGTTTGACCTCAATCAAACTTTCAGCTCCCCAAGATGGAGGACCGGAGCCCGGTGCACCCTGAGGGGCCCCTGGAGGTCAGGGGGCCCCTGGAGGTCAGGTGGTCCGGGGGCCCTGCAGCGTGGCCCGGCTGGATCTGGACGGTAGGGCCGGTCCACCACCACATTACATCACACACACGCTCAAGAAGCCAGCGGGGCCTTTTCTCCCACAATGCTCCTCGGTCGGTCGGTCGGACCCTCCACCCCCAACACACACACACACACACACACACACACACACACACACACACTCAGGCAGCTGGACGCGCTCAGTGTGTAGATGGAGACACACACCGAGTCAATGGGCGGATGTGGAGGCATCATGGCGACAGCAGCTTCCACACACACGCACGCACGCGCGCGCACACGCACGGACACACGCGCCCTACCTGCCGTCGCCAGGCCGTCCGGGCCCGGTTCTCCTCCTCCGTCCACCGGATTCATCCTCCCTCCTCCTCCTCCTCCTCCTCCGCCGCCTCCTCCTCCTCCTCGCGCGCTCTCCTCCGTTATGTACCGTCGCTCGCTCCGGTGCTCCTCCTCGCGCCTCCTCCTCCTCCTCCTCCGCCGCCGCCGCCGCCGCCTCCTCCCGGGCCTCTACCCGTCCATCCCTGCGGCTGTGCACCGGTGGGTTGCAGGCTCCCGGGGCGGTGTTCGGACGGTACCGATCAGTGCAGCATCCTCCGGGGCTCGGCTCGGCTCGGCTCGGCTCTTCGGTCCTCCTCCTCCTCCTCCTCCTCTTCCTCCTCCGCTGCTGCTGCTGCTGCTGCTGTTCTTACGTTACCGTGATCCCGCGCGGCATCGCATCACATCACGTCACCGTTACTGCCGCCGTTACCGTTACCGCTCCCCGGTTCCCTCTCTCTCCTCCTGCCGGTCCAGCAGCGGACGGTCGCTCGGTCGGTGCGTTTCAGCGCGCATGCGCAGCAGACATAGAGAGGGGCGCTGTGCACGAAGGCTGCAGCAGCTGCTGCACCGACACACACACACACACACACACACACACACACCCTGCCTCTCTCCGTTACTACAACGTTACTGTGGTAACGTCGGTACCGTTACTATGGAGCTGCTGCCGTTAACGTGACGGAGTCGCATTATATCATGTATGTTATATTATTTTCGGGTATGTTACCTCACATACTGTTATCATATATTATATTATATTATATTATATTATATTATATTATATTATATTATATTGTGTGTGATAGACATAAAATTATCTTAGATTTTGTTATATATAACGTTGTGTTACATGTTATTTTATTATAACATATCATTTTATGTTATTTTATATATGATATAAATCAATTGTTTTAGATTTTGTAATATATATGTTATTTTATGTGTGATATATATAAAATAGATTATATTGTTTTGTTGTTTTATATTTTATCATATTAATAAATTAGACTGTGTTGGATTATATGATGCATGACAACGAAGGAACAACAGAGATGATCAGTTATGACTAAAATGAATCTCAATCAGCCAGTAAAGCAAAACACAACACAAATAAAGAAGTTGTATTTATTGTGCGATCCTCCGTCCTCGTCACAAAAAGACTCCAAATCCTTTATTTTTCACAGAAGCATATTAAAGCAGAACCAGTTCAGATCCGTGAAACAGAACCAGTGAAGGAGGTGATTTACAGCAGCTCACTGAGAGTTTGCAGCCAAAAGCTAAATTAGTTTCTTTTGTTTTTCACAGCTGAATGACTGAAGCTGCAGCGCCGCCTGCAGGCTGCATCAGTTCAAACACACAGAGCTGGAAAAGACTTCAAACGGCTCCACTTTTAATACATCGATTTTTTAAAACTCCTGCATTTGAAAAAATGACATTAAATTAATAAACCTCGAAATGTTAAAGAATGTTTTAGATTATTTAAAATTATAACTATTTTAATTTTAAATTATTTACTATTACAAGGTTGGGTTAAATCAATATGCTTTGTGTTTAAAATCAATCAAATTTTACACATTTTTAAATAAAATATGGTTTTATGTATATTTTTTATTTAAGATTTATATTATTCACATGGAATAATCTGAATTTAAGATATTTTAATATTTGAAATGAGTCGCTTTAACAAAGTGTGACGTCTTGATTTCCTTCAGTCTGATTTATTTCTGAAAATACTTCGACGCGTCTTAATTAAGAAACCTTGTTGTTCACACGTTTACTGTTGTGATGACAGCAAATAACAACAAAGTGTTTATTGTTACGTTCACATTTTGTTTTTCGTATTTTTAAAGCACTTCAGTATTTTAAACATTTAACTTTAAGCTTTTAAAGGCTCCAAACGATGTCTTTGCTTTGTTTTAAATATATTATAATTAATTTATATTGTCTAAAATATCTACTTTGCATCGAATATGTTTTGGGAAATGCTGTTCTGTATTTAAATGTGAGCTCAGGTCCAGCTTCATGAGTTTTATGTGTTTTTGTTTCCGGTGAGGTTCTGTCGCTGCTCGGTGTCAATAAAGTTTCGCGTTTTGTCTGTTTTGGTGCAGAGGGCTGTGCGTGCCCCCTGCGTCATGACGTCACGTTGCCGTAGAAACAAAAGCGCGTCGGCTGGCTGCTAACAGCTAGCCGCCTTAGCTCGTCGGAAACCGTGACCTCTGAAGCTCGGCGTCGGTTTTCAGTCACCGCTCAGAGCCGCACGAGCGACCGGAAGCGGTGTCCAAACGGTTAACGGGGCTTCTCACGTCCGGAAACGTTTGCTAATCGCCCGCGAAAGGCGACAAAGCGGCTGCTCGAGCCGTTAGCTGCTAACCGGCGCTGCGGAGGAGTCACGTCGGACGGTCCCAGGTGAGACAGAAACACACCTGCTGCTCCGCTGAGTGTTCAGAGTTCACGTTTTACTGAAGAGAGGCGCGAAAGAGATGAAAAATCACCACAGTAAAGGCAGCAGGGGGCGCAATAGTACACAGAGGTGACACAAGACAACAGGTAAACGAAGACACGTCAACACAGAGACGACGGACGAGCGACATGTGACAGGAAACCAGCAACAAGAGGCCAGAAATGAGATCAAATGGACCAATATCAGATCCAGAGTGGCAGCAATGAGTGAAGCAGGCTGTGGTTTGTTCCCTGAGTTTGTCCTGAAGGCGGCGCTTCATCAGTGTGTCCTTCTACAGGTGGCTCGTCCTCCTGCACAGGTGGAAGCTCACCTGAGCCAGCAGTCATGAAGGAGGAGGAGCTTCAGGAGCTGAAGAGGAAGCTGGAGGAGGAAGAGCTGACACAGGATCAGAGAATCCGCCTCCTGAACAGCAGCTTAAACAGTGAGATGCCGTCTGTCTGCTGTTAATGTTAACCCGTCTGTCATTAACCCGTCTGTCATCAACCCGTCTGTCTGTCATCAACCCGTCTGTCATTAACCCGTCTGTCAT